CCAGGGGCACCGGAGCAGCTTACGAACGGGGCTTTCTCGCCCCGGAGCTCGCAGGCAGCAATCCGCCACCTCGACCTCCGGGGCGAGAAAGCCCTGTTCGTAAGTGCGGATCCGACATAAGTCGGATCCGCGTAAGTCGGGGACTGCCTGTATATTTCAAAATAATGGGCACACTATTCTCACGTTCCCGTAAACCTCGTTCCACGAGGATTAAGGGACGTTTTGAAATAGCGATTTATTTCAAAATTTGGTAGTGTAGACAGTGCCAAATTACAAAGTAAGCTATTTCTAAATTAATTTGAAATAAGTTACGCAATTTGCATAGCTCAAATTGCTTATCTTGTTTTGAGATAAGGGTGTAGTGGAAACACACCCTCAGCGTACTTGAAAAATAGTTGGAGCCACAGTTTCATTTATGCATGCACATACTTATGAAAGAAAGCATTCATACACATACATGAAAAAATGTGTATGTTTAAAATGCACCAACTGCCCACATAGTTAATATTTGAAAAGTGCTTGTGCAACACCGACAGGGCAGAACTGAACCTGGAATCTGTATAGCTTAGTGCATGAGCCTTCACAGCTTGAGCTAAAAGTCAGCTGATTTTCAGCTGTAGAGGAAACTCATTCTTTCTCTCCTGTAAGTGGTTAAAGTGCCACTACATGGGACGGTAGGCAACACCCAGCAGATGTGTGGGTTACATTTATATGAACATTTACGTGCAAAATTGCAAGTATACAGGTAAAAGCTTAGTTGAGACCCATGGAAAATTTGCCTATTTTTTTTAACATAAGTGTCCCTTTGAAGTGTTGCTTTTATACATCTTCTATTTGTGTGTGTATTTTTTTCCAATAAAGGTTTTCCATGATGTTGCTTATAAAGCTAAAGATCGTAATGATCTGTTATCAGGAATTGATGAATTTTTAGACCAAGTGACTGTCCTGCCTCCAGGAGAGTGGGATCCATCTATACGCATTGAGCCACCAAAAAGTGTTCCTTCTCAGGTAAGAGCTTTTACAATATTGTGGTCTGTGACTTGTTTCTAAATTGTTTCCAAATGCAAGCTAAAACTTATAATATAATCATATATATAGTAGCCCAGTGTCTATGAGTCTGTAACGCTGATGTACACGGCCATGCCTCTGGCCGTGTACGTCAGCTCCCCGCCCCTCTTCCACCGTGGCTCTCTGCACTGCTCAGCTGGGCCCCGGCGGGGGAGCAAGAGGCAGCAAGCGGCCGTTTAGGGTCCGCGCTTCCCATCCATGGGGAGCATGGACCCCAAACGGCCATTTGCCGCCACTTGTTCCCCCGCAGGGGTCCGGCTGAGGGGCGCAGCACTCAGAGCCACAGCGGGAGAGGAAGGGGGGACGGTGACGTACACGGCCAGGGGGCGTGTTTTGGAAGTATCTTGAAACTAAAGAGGTCTCCAGTAGGTACTAGATCTCAGCCTTCCAGTAACTGCAGACTAGTGATATCCAACGCTGAGGATCATAGAATCATAGAGCTGGAAGAGACCTCAAGAGGTCATCAAGTCCAGGCCCCTGCCCAACGCAAGACCAATCCCTACTAAATCAACCCAGCCAGGGCTTTGTCAAGCGAAGACTTAAAAACCTCTAGGGAGATTCCACCACCTCCCGAGGTAACCCATTCCAGTGCTTCACCACCCTCCTAGTGAAACAGTTTTTCCTAATATCCAACCAAGACCTCTCCCACTGAAACTTGAGACTATTGCTCCTTGTTCTGCCATCCGTCACTACTGAGAACAGCCTTTCTCCATCCTCTTTTGAACCTCCCTTCAGTAAGTTGAAGGCTGCTATCAAATTTGCCCTCACTCTTCTCTTCTGGAGACTAAACAAACCCAAATCCCTCAGTCTCGCCTCATAGGTCATGTGCTCCAGCCCCCTAATCATTTTGGTCGCCCTCCGCTGGACCCTCTCCAATGCATCCACATTCTTTCTATAGTGGGCGGCCCAGAACTGGACACAGTACTCCAGATGTGGCCTCACCAGAGCCGAATAAAGGGGAATAATCACTTCTCAAGATGTGCTGGCAATGCTCCTCCTAATGCACCCTAATATGCCATTTGCCTTCTTGGCTACATGGACACACTATTGACTTATATCCAGCTTCTCATCTACTGTAATCCCCAGGTCCTTTTCTGCATACCTGCTTCTTAGCCGTTCGGTCCCTAGCCTGTAAGGTCCTTTTCTGCATACCTGCTACTTAGCCGTTCGGTCCCTAGCCTGTAACAATGCTTGGGATTCTTCTGTCCCAAGAGTGCAGGACTCTACACTTGTCCTTGTTGAACCTCATCAGATTTCTTTTGGCCCAGTCCTCTAATCTGTCCAGGTCACTCTGGACCCTAACTCTGCCCTCCAGCGTTTCTACCTCTCCCCCTAGCTTAGTGTCATCTGCGAACTTGCTGAAGGTGCAATCCATCCCCTCATCCAGGTCCTTAATAAAGATGACAAACAAAACCAGTCCAAGAACAGATCCTTGGGGCACTCTGCTAGAAACTGACCGCCAAACTGACATCGAGCCGTTGATCGCTACCCATTGGGCCCGCCAGTCTAGCCAGCTTTCTATCGATCGTACAGTCCATTTATCCAATCCATATTCCCTTAAGTTGCTGGCAAGAATATTGTAGGAGACCATCTCAAAAGCTTTGCTACAGTCAAGTATATCATATCCACTGACTTTCCCATATTCACAGAGCCAGTTACCTCATCATAGAAGCTTTATCAGATTGGTCAGGCATGACTTGCCCATCTTGACTATTCCTGATTATTTTCCCCTCCTCCAAGTGCTTCAAAATGGATTCCTTGAGGATCCCCTCCATGATTTTTCCGGTGACTGAGGTGAGGTTGACTGGTGTGTAGTTTCTACTTCTTGTAAGCTTCCTTTTTATGTTTAAGCTCACCAAGGATGTCCCTGGTAAGCCAATCTGGTCGCCTACCATGTTTGCTTTTCTTGCTGCGCATCAGGATGGTTTCTTCCTGTGCCTTTAATTTTAAAGCTGGCTTCTTTAAAATACTGCTAGCTATCCTGGACTCTTTTCCCTTGATGTAAGCATACCAGGGAATCCTGCCAATCAGTTCTCTGAGGGAGTCAGTCTGCTTTTCTGACGGCCAGAGTGTGTATTTTTGTACTGTCCTTTCTCCCTTTGGTCAGGATCCTGAACTCTCCCATTTCATGATCACTGCTTCCCAGGTTGTCACCCACCTCTACTTCCTCTGCTAGTTCCTCCCTGTTTGTGAGCAGCAGGTCAAGCTGCGCATGGCCTCTGTTCAGTTCCTTCAGCACTTGTACCAAGAAGTTACCCCCACCATTCTCCAAAACTTCCTGGATTATCAGTGTAGTGCTGTATTGGTCTCCCAAGAGATGTCAGGGTGATTAAAGTCCCCCATGAGAATCAGGATCTGGGATCTTCTCTCAGTTGTCCGAAGAAAGCCTTTTCTGCCTCATCCACCTGATCCTGCGGTCTATAGCAGACACCAACCACAACGTCACCCCTGTTGCTTCCACCTCTAAACTTTAACCCATAGACTCTCAACAGTCTTTTCTCCCTCTAAATACTGGAGCTCCAAGCAGTCATACTGCTTTCTTACATACAATGCAAGTCCTCCTCCTTTTCTCCCCCACGTGTTCTTCCTGAACAGTTTATACTCTTCCATGACAGTGCTCCAGTGATGCAAGTCATCCCACCAAGCCTCCATTATTCCAATGAAATCATAGTTCTTCGACTGGGCCACGGCTTCTAATTCTTCCTGTTTATTTCCCAGGCTTCTTACATTTGTGTACAAACAGCTTAGGTAATCAGTTGATCAGCTTACCTTCTCCATCCTAATCAGGGATCCTTCCTTGTTGCTCGTTCCTCCTTGTGATTCTTTTTGGGGTCCGACTTCCTCACTTATCTTAGGGCTTTGGTCGCCATCCCCCAACGAACCTAGTTTAAAGCCCTCCTCACTAGGTTTGCAAGCCTGCCCGCGAAGATGCTTTTTCCTCTCTTGGTTAGGAGGATCCCATCTCTTCCTAACAATCCTTGTGCCCGGAACAGAGTCCCATAGTCGAAGAAACCAATGCCCTCTCTCCGACACCACCTGCGCAATCACGCATATACTTCCTCAATTTGATGATTCCTAAGTGGATCTTTTTCTTCAACTGGAAGGATGGACGAGAACACCACTTGCACTTCAAATTCCTTGATCTTTCTTCCTAGCACTACATAATCTGCTGTCACCTGCTCAAGGTCATTCTTGGCCATATCGTTAGTTCCTACCTGGAGAAGCAGGAAGGGGTAGCAATCCAAAGGTTTAATCACTTTCGGAAGACTCTCGGTCACGTCCTGAATGCGAGCTCCCAGTAAGCAGCACGCTTCTCGAAATTTCAGGTCTGGACGGCAGATGGATGACTGAGTCCCTCTTAGGAGGGAGTCCCCAACCACCACCACCCATCTTCTTCTTTTGGGGGTGGTGGTTGTGGAACCCCAATCCCTAGGATTACGCATCTCATGCCTTCCGGTAGATGGTGTTCCCTTCTGATTTCTTCTCTGTCTGTCGGGCAATAACAGTCTTAGGCAGTGTCTAGACTATATCCCGCGACAGACACTACATCCCTCTTTTAGACACTTAGAAAGTGCAAATGAAGTGGGGATTAGAGGGTTACAGGATCTTTTGAAAAAACCTGCCGTTTTTGAAAGAACCACGTCTAGACTTTTTTTACTTTCAAAATGGTGCTTTTTTGAAAAAGCACCATGATGCGATTATGCAGTTGAAGTGTGGGATATTTAAATACCCACTTCATTGGCACTTTTGAAGTGTCTAATTTACATCCCTCTGTCAAAAGAGGGATGTAGTCTAGACACAGCCTAAGAGAGGTTTAAAGAGAAGGAGAAATTTAAAAGCAGGGAGATGTATGTTGTTCATCAAGTAATACAAAGTTAAAGCCTTAGGCTTGTTGCAGTCTTGGTGTTGGTTTCAAAATAAAAGTGGGTGAGTTGATGATGTGAGTTAGATAAAGGAAGCCTGTGGTATCCGTGTGCTATTGATGGACTTTGCTGTGTACAAGAAGCAAACTTTTTATATTTCCATATTTAAAAAAACCAAAAAACTTGTGTACATAAAGTGGTTGGGGGCGGGGTGCGCTTGTGTTTACGTTACTGTGTTTGCATGCGCATGATGTCATATATATGTAATCAATATATAATCATTTTTAGATATACATGTTTCAGGTATGATAATTAAATCTTGCCATTAAAATATATTGTTAATTGAGCTTTAAATCAACTCCTGAGAAGCAATGTGGTCTAGGAGATTTTGTGTTCATAGATAGCAATACCTGAATAGATCTTTATTTACAAGTATCATCCATTTGTGGTATGTAGAGAGAATTCTTACACTTCGATATCATGTTGTACATTTATATGGTAAATGTTTATCAAAGCCTTGTATTAAAATATTTTATTTTGGAAATATTGGGCCTTCACAAACTTTCCAGGAATTGAGGCTTTTTAATAAAAGGTGACCCTACAGTAAAATATTTTATGCATTTTCCTTCTATAGGAGAAAAGAAAGATACCTAAATTTCCAAATGGATCTACTTCTACTGGAGAGACTCTCGAACAGGAGAGCCATCATGCTGGACCTGAGCTAAAAAGGACTGGAAGGTGGGTTTGCTTAACTAAATAGTAGTCATCACAAAGAAATATGTACGATAATAATGAATACTGATTACCATTTTATAGAATCATACATTTAAATCTTTTAAATTCATGGTAAAACACATCCTTTCTCCTTTCAAATGATTGGTTCTTGCCTATGATTGTTGTCCTGCTTAAAGCATTATCAACCCTGTGGCAATATTCCTCAATACACTTGTGAAGGAGTTCATGCTATGAGGATGCCTACTTTAACTAACTAAATTTTCAAAATACATTTTTGAGTTTGAAACTATTATAAAGCTTGCATTTATCATGAGTGTAAAGCAATTTGGAAATTGTTTATATTGGGCTAGATATTCAAAATATTGCATAGGTACAAATCAATGTCTAATATCTTTTGTAGAGCCCACAGAAGAAATTTTAAGATGTCAGGCTTTAGATGCAATGTCATATAACAAGATTTACAACTTCTAAAGAGCGATGTAATATGGGCAATGTAGTGAATTTTAGACATGCAAAAAAAATCAAAGAACATTCTTGTAGATGAGTTGCATTGCTTGTTTGATAATTTTAGTAAACTCATATCCTAAAACTTTGGATTGCCTGCAAATTAGGAAAACAGCTGACAAAGCTTAACCAATCTTAATTCTTCACTAAAATTTTATTGCAGGTTTTGATCAGCTGAATAAGAACTGTAGAGGTTCAAGAGTTAATACCCCACAGGCAAATACATTTTTAACATCATGAATGTAGTGATAATTTTCCAAAGCAAATCTGTCACCATATGAACTGGCTTTGTTTTATTTAGCTGCAGTATCATGTCTTATACTCATTTCTTGGAAAGTGAAATGACGCTGTCAATACTGGGAGCTAAATGACGCTGTCAATACTGGGAGCAAAACTGAACTAATCTGCATATGACAATATTCTTTTCTGAAAAAATAATTTTATTTTTTGTTGTGTTGGTAATAGCCCCTTTATTGTTTACAGCAAACTGCATCATTTGTGGATATTTGATCCTGAATAGTATTTTGTATAAGAAACTTGTGACTTTCTAGGCACCTTCACAAATATTTGCAGTTTCTACTTGTATTTTGTTCATATGAATTGATTGTACTACCTGCATTGATTTTTTTTCTGTTACTTCCTTTACAAAGCACCTCAATAAACACAGCCCCTCTTTATCAAAGACAGTAGATGGGTTTCTTAACCTCATAAATAATTTCTATAGAGAGAGAATTTGGCTAAGAAAAAGAGAAACTAAAACTACTTACAAGAACCCTGAGAATTTTCATTAAGACATTGGAATGTAGAAATGCAGTGTTCCTAGAAGATGGATTGTAAATGTTCTTTTTGTGCTTAAATGTTTTGATAACCACTGCGTTCAGATGTGGGCGTCTTAAAGCATTGGGACAGAATGATTTGCTAGGATCTTTTCAGTGTCTAGCCCACTATATGCAAAATAGCTAGCCAGAATTTTAAAATATATGGTTAAGTATAAGCCGCATAATTTTTCTAAAGTTACTGAATTGAAATTGACTAAATTAGTTTACGTTTCATCTGTGTTGCATTTTAAATTGGATTGTGAAATTGTTAACATTATGCTGGCAATCGGCGCTAGCAGTCTTGTGTAGCCCATGGTTTAAAACTAGCTAGAATCCTTTAGTGTACAGTTTGACGAGTTTCATCTCACCTATTTAGGCTTTTTGGTGGTTTGATACTTGACATCAAAAGGAAAGCACCTTTTTTCTTGAGTGACTTCAAGGATGCATTAAGCCTGCAGTGCCTGGCCTCGATTCTTTTCCTATACTGTGCCTGTATGTCTCCTGTAATCACTTTTGGAGGGCTCCTGGGAGAAGCTACACAAGGCAGAATAGTGAGTACAAAGAATGGTAGTGGCCAGGCTTTTAGATCTTCAGAGGCAAGTGACTGTGTGCATTTGTCTCATATATTCATACTTTTATTTGAAGAGTTTATCCATGGCACTTGATTAGCCCAAAGCAGACATTCCCCAAAAGGTAATTGCTGTGGAAAATGTGAACAGGAGAAGATGCACAGTTGAGGTAAAAATGTTTATCCTGCCTTACTGGGTGAATGGCTTCATGAATTGAGAGAGAAATTGTATTGCCTTCTTGGAAAGGGCCAATAGAATTGGCTCAAACGTAAGTGCTAAAGCTGCACCATCCCAGTACACCTACTTAGGATAAATCAGAGGCTCAAGGTGGATAGCTAACAAAGATTAATGGCCTTGAGTAGTAGGCCTGAGTGGATGATAATGCTTATGATGCATTGCAGAGGAAGCAGAATTGTGTTTTTAAACAATGGACGAAATATAAATGTCTCTTCACTAATTATGTACTACTTTATAATCTTAATAAGAGGAGATGACCAAGATTTATAAACAGAAAATACTCTTCATTGTAAACCTTAATACATTTAGCTATAGAGAAATATCTTTTTAATTTTGGTAATGCCACACTGGATCGTATGCAAACTACAGCTGTTCTAACTAAATTACTTACTGGGGTTTTTTAGTTTTCAGAAATGGCAGAAATAGTCACATCCACTATTGTATAATGTCAGTGTTTCAGTGGCAGTTAGCTAATAACTGTTAATTAAAATAATGTATGAAGTGTATTTTCTATTTTTAAATTTGTTGTGAAAATGACTTTTTTTATTTTAGGGAAAATATATGGATGTATTGAAATGTCTCCTTTAAAATATCAGGATTTTGATTTATACTTGTATTGAAATTTCCAAAAATCCTCCTCCTTTTCAGAGCAGACATTCAGACTTCAATTGTAGTAATTTTTTTACACTAGAACATGTTTAACTGGACTTTATTTTTTGTAAAAAAGGCCTGTAGCATGAATACTTGCTTATTAACATGAGAATTTTAACAAGCTGTTGGCTGGTACAAAAACTGTTTCAGAAATAAAGTACATTATTGTACTGTGCCATATTTTTATTCTCCACATTTAGAAAGTATGTTTTCAGGCAGTTGGCATAACATTTAACATGGGTTGTACATGTACTTCATATGCATAATTTTTTGAAAATGTTCTCCTTTTTAAGATTGATTTAAAATACCTTCTTTTTTTTAGCTGTCTGGGATTATTTGTGGGCTTGTTCCTGCCTTCAGATACTTTGGTGTGCATCAATGAATATAATAAATTAGTTACTGTATTCATATGTTGAAGCACAGTAGCTGACTTTGTAAGGTACAAAGTTTGTGTTGAAACCTCTCCCTCACGTTCCCAGAGAACGTCACTTTCACAGTACTCCCTGTCCCTGCCACCATCCTGATTCAGAGCCGAAAGTTAATGCATTGACTGAATTAAAATACTAGTTTGAGGTAACACTTGAACAATAGTTTTTATGTGTAGCATATGAAATTTATTGCTCAAATTCAGCAAATCACAGCCCAGGGTTGTGTTTGGTTAGTTCTAGCTTTCTCTGGCATTAATAATTACAGAAGAGCAATTTTTTAAAAACCGCAATTCAACAACACTGTTGTCAAACTCATGTCTTTTTATGGGTTTTGTTTTGTTTTGTTTTTTTTACTGGCATAGGTAATTTTTAAAAACTTCAACAGTGTTTTAGATCCAAAGCTCTGCTTTCCCCTGTCTTTTATAGTGGTTTATAACTTTTTATTTTTAAGTGAAAAGTGTTTTAGTAAAGCATATTATTCAAAGGCAAAACCACATTTTCTTCTAATAAAGAGAAATGCATTACCAGCTGGGATGTTGGCTTACTATTCCATCTTTTTATTGTCATGTATACGTAAACCATTACTGTTCAGTAATACCCAGTCATGGTTTTTTTTTTTCATTTGTAATGCTTGGTTTGACTGGTGCAGGTTTGATATAGCACACTGTATCAAGTTTTGGTACAGGTATGCTGCAATATCTTCTTTCTTACAGAGAAAAAGATAGGTTTTTTTTTTTTTCTGTTAACCACATTTTGATAGACACTTGTGTTTGTTAAATTGTTGGTGTATTCTTTCCTCCTTATCCTTCAGAATGATTAACCTATTCATATGAGTTTGGATAGTTTTACTTTGTTCAGATCTTTTGACCGTGATACTGTTATTTCAGTGTCGTGTTAAAAGTTACTCTTATACGTATAAAGGATCAATATCAATATTGGTTTTACTGTTTCCATTCCTAATTTTATTTCAAAGTTGGTGATGTATTATTAAAATCATATGTATGCAAACATGATGATAAATGATAACCATAAATGCAACGTGTTACATCATTTTTTCCCCTCCAAACAGAGTGCAATAGAGTCTCTCTTTGGAGCCTCATTAACTGGGATTGCCTATTCCCTGTTTGCTGGGCAACCTCTTACAATACTGGGAAGCACCGGACCAGTTCTAGTATTTGAAAAAATATTATTTAAATTCTGCAAGTAAGTAATATTTACATTGACTGGATACATTTTCTGAACTTAAGGATAACTCAGTGTTCTGGTAGATTTGTAGTAGGTGAAAGTGGAAACCTGAAACCAGACCACTTGTACATTTTAGGTAGGCTGCATTTTAATTCTCAGGTGTGACTTTGCTTTGGATTGGATTGAAAGTCAAAGGATATCTGCCTTTTAGCTCTGGTTTAGATGTGACCATCGCTTTGCAAGAATAGTCCGCAAGACTTTGTCAGTGTCAAATGTCAGCTTGAACCATAGTCCTGAATTGACCACAAATCTAAACCTTGAATTCTTGCCTTCAGTGTTATCTAGCTCCAGATACTGTTTCTATCCTGTCTCTCAGGCTACAAATTTAAATAGATTGAATCTTACTTTTGGAATTATAAATAATTTGATATGTAGTCTATATCAGATTAGAAAATACAATTTTTTTAAAACTACTTGTATGTTTAAAAATTATGATCATGTCTAGCTGAAAGAAAAAAGGAGTATCCCTACTTCCTTGTGGAAGTTTCATATTGTATTGTTTTTATATTTCCTTGAGGGTGCATCTGTATCAGTATTAGTTATTGTTCACTTTCAGCTATAGTGTTTGAAAGCATTAGTTTTCTTTTGGCTCTTCTAGAACAGTTTGGATACATAGATTACAGTTCCTCCCAAACATCAAATTATGAAAGAACACATAAGACTTTAGATCTTAGTTTTGACTTTTAGCTATTAGATTCCACCATATAGTGACCAAAGGCCCTAGTATTCTGCTGCTACAGCAAAAAAACAGGACTTGGAGGATTTAAAGAAGCTCCGTGTCACTGTGATGTAGGGCAGTAGTTTCCAACCTTTTTTATGCCGCAGACTGGCAAACTCATTCACAGACTTGGTGGCCTAGTAACTTTTTATTTGCATATTTTGCATATTCATTATGCAGATGAACATGCAGATACACAAATAAAATGTTACCATTACACCTAGCCCCAACCCAGCCCCTTGCCCCCTCCTCCCCCCCGGTGCCTAATACTCTTTGCCCTGCACTCCTACACCCCATGCCCTTTGACCTTTAATCTCTGACCCCTGGAGTCCATACCGACACCCTCTTGCCCGTGACCCCACCATATCCTCACCCATCACCCCTTTGCACCTACCCCACCCCCTCACTCACCAGAGCGAGGCTGCCCCCTCTAAGGATTATGGCCGTTACTGGCACACGGGCAGGGAGAGCGGCCCTCCTCCTTTGTGCGACCTCCTCCTTCCCCAAGCATATCTTGCGCCCTCATGGGTGGGAGGAAGGGGAAGAGTGCAGAGCCCAGGCCGGATTCCGTTATGGGGGGAAGGAGGAGGAAGGGAGAGTCGCCTCCTGCTCTGCTGCCGCCACCTCAGCCCCAGCCCTGCCATTGACAAAGGTGGCTGCATGAGCAGGGGGTAGAAAGCAGAGCCCTGGGGAGGCTCATCCTGCCTCTGCTGGCAAAAGCTGCCACGTGCACCTCCTGCCTTCTTTGCAACCTCTTTCTCCCCAAGTGGAGAGGAAAGAGCCTCCTGCTGCCGCTGCCTGAACCACCATGGCTGCCAGAGGTGAGCTGTCAAGAATAGCCAGCTTGAGCTCCGACAGCCACCGCGACCTAGCAACCAGCCGTTTGTGGCCCGGCAGCGGGCTGCGGACTGGCAGTTGCGAACTAGGGATGTTAAACATCAGTTAAATGAATAGTCAATCTCATGAATTCTTATCAGTTATTCGACTATTCTGTAGTCCCTAGAGGTGGGGCCGGCAGCCAGTGTAATCTGGCCGCAGCATCAGAGGCAGCAGCGCGGGGTGGCAGCAGCCCCTGTCGGAGAGGGGGAGGGGGTCTGTCTAAGCTCCTGGTCCCAGTACAAGCTGGAACTGAGCTGGGCTGCCTGCCCCCAATACACTTTAAATGCAGGGCTGCAGTGGGGATAGGTCCTGGACCTGGCACAAACCAGGTCTGAGCTGGGCCAGCCTGCTAAAAAAAATTACTGGAAAAGGGAATGCGTATAGTCTATAGCGTTAACCTGTAAGCTTTTGCTTAAGGGTTAATCAGCTACACTATTACATCCCCATTTGGAACTGCTGATGTAGGGCACTGGTTCATTTTAGCAGTGAAACCAGAGTTCCAGTCCTGTGTCAGAAAGAGTCCGACCCTAGTTCAATAGAGAATTACTAGACCTTTCTGCTGAACTGCAGTAGTGACTTTGGCCCTAGCAGGGAACTATAAAAAGGTAGAATGCCTTAAAATATACCTCACACCCTTTAGGGTAGAGAGGGCATTCATATGTCCTCAACTTGCATAGCTGCTCGTTGGATCCCAGCAACCCCTCTTCATAGTAGCAGCTCCCATATCTAGGATGATGAAAAGAGTAGGGGACAGTCTCTTTTCTGCTTCTTCATCAAATAGACTGCCCTGAAGTCAGGAAAAGGAAGCAGCAAGAGTGTAAAGTGCAGGAACCAAAATTTATGCCTTACCCTTTTTTTTCAGGATGTAATTGTTTACTGTTTCAGGCAGCCTTAAAGTTTTATTTCTTTTTTTCCCAAACAGGGATTATGGGCTTTCCTATCTCTCCTTGCGAACCAGCATTGGTCTATGGACTGCATTTTTATGCATAGTATTAGTAGCAACTGATGCAAGCAGCCTTGTTTGTTACATCACTCGATTTACTGAGGAGGCTTTTGCAGCACTCATTTGCATCATATTTATCTATGAAGCATTGGAAAAGCTTTTTCATTTGGGAGAAGTATATGCTTTCAATATGCATAGCGACCTGGATAAATTGACTTTATATTCGTAAGTGTCAGGTTTTTTACAGCAGGTTATTACCAATGGAACACCTTACAGCAGGGGTCGGCAACCTTTTCAAGCCAAAGAGCCAAACTACATCAAAATTTAAAATAAGTGGTCAACAAAGAGACGTATAAGAATTCCCATTTGCATGACTGAAAATATACAACTTAATATTATTAATTGACATAATGATTAATAATAGTATAAATGAAATGTACTCACAGACTTTATTTAATGAGACTTCTGCTGCTGCATCTTTTTGCAATTTCTCTGAAGTTTACATCATATCTGGTCAAATCCAGCTTCATGCATGCATTCAGGCTTTCTTCTTTCAATCTTTTGGCAGGAGGTTGGGGATATAGGGGTGCAGGAATTTGAGTTGGCATGTATGATCGGCTCAGGGCAGGTGTTTTGGGATGTAGGGGAGCTCAGGATGTATGAGGGGCCCATGGCAGGAGGTGTGGGTGTATGATGGACTCAGGGAAAAAGGTTGGGATGTGTGGGAGGTGCTGGCGTGCTAAGACAAGTGACTGGGAATGTGGGGGTGCAGGAATTTGGGATTGTGGAGATTTGAGTGCCTCTGGGCAGGGGGTTCAGATGTATGATGGGGTCAGTATTGGTGTGGAGAGGGGGGCAGAAGTGTCATGATGCTGCGGCCAGATGGGGGCTGGTTGGTCAGGCTTCATTTTTAAATAAAGTAACATTTTATGTCCAGCACAAAAGGTTTCCACGTTGTCTTTGTTTATGGCAGGAGTGGGGAACCTCTTTTGGGTTGGGGGCCACCTACCCACAGAAACCAGTCAGAGATTACACAAGTGAGAAGCACTTGGTTGGGGCAGGGGCAGAAAGAACTAAGGTTCAAGGTCTCAGGACAGATTTACTCTTCTGGGGTTCCAAGCTTAGTGGATTTTTTTGACCCCTCTAGGCTCTGGGATGAGGCCAAAAATGAGGGGTTAGGTGTGTGGGACAGGGCTGCAGGTGACTGTGATAGGGATGGGGGTGCAAGATCTGGGCAGGAGGAGGGGTGCAGAGGTCTGGGTGGAAGACAGGGTACAGGAACAGGCTGGGAGCAGTGTCTGGCTGGAGAGGGCAGAAGTGGGCTGGAAGTATGGTGTCTCGCTGGGGGGATGAGTGAGGGCAGTGGGGATGCGGTATCTGGGCACGAGTGGATGGGGGGGCACTTGCTTTCGCATTGCGTCACTGGTACTGTGTAACAGCCTCCCATTGCTCCTATTTGCCAGATTCTGGCCGATAGGGGCAAAGGGGAAGCCTCCAGGAAGTGCATCCCTTCGAGGCTGATTCCCCAGCCAGGGTAATAAAAATGGCAGCGCATGGAGTTATTTTTGGTTCCACTTGTTCCTCATATGTCGGATCCGGCAGTGAGGGTTGAGGCTTTCTCCCTCTGGACCCGCCACAGAAAGCCGGTGCTGGCGTTCCAATCTTGTGGGGGGCTGTAAGGCTGTAGCACCAGCATTGGCTCCCTGCTGTGGGGGGAGATGAGAGGACTGAGCTGGAGCTCCAAAAAAGCCATAACTGGCTCCCTACTGAGCCATACATTGCTGACCCCTGCCTCACAGACTGTTAGCAAAATTAATGAATATATAAATGCAAGTGTAAATTAATGTGTACAAATTTTTGTGTCTTGAACATAGACATGAAATTGCAGCTTTGGGAAGACATGGTAGGCATGGTATAAATAACACATAATCTCTACCGTAGGCTGTGTCTACACTGGCATGAATTTCTGGAAATGCTTAAAACGGAATACTATTCTGTTTTCAGTTTTTCTGGAAAAGGACCGTCTACATTGGCAGGCTGCTTTTCCGGAAAAGCCCTTTTTCTGGAAAAGCGTCTGTGGCCAATGTAGACGTGCTTTTCCGGAAAAGAGCCCCGATCGCCATTTTCGCGATCGGGGCTTTTTTCCGGAAAAGACTACTGGGCTGTCTACACTGACCCTTTTCCGGAACAGTGTTCCGGAATAAGGACTTATGCCCCAGCGGGAGCAGAATAGTTTTTCCGGAATAGCGGCTGATTTTGTACAGTAGAGTATCGTTGCTTTTCCGGAAATTCAAGGGCCAGTGTAGACAGCTCGCAGTTTATTCCAGAAAAGCGGCTGATTTTCTGGAATAAGTGGCCCAGTGTAGACACAGCCTAAGGGCTCGTCTACATTGGCCCCTTTTCCGGAAGGGGCATGGTAATTTTTGAAATCGCAATAGGGAAATGCGCGGGGGATTTAAATATCCCCCGCGGCATTTAAATAAAAATGTCCGCCGCTTTTTTCCGGCTTTTAGAAAAGCCGGAAAAGAGCGTCTACACTGGCCCCGATCCTCCGGAAAAAGCGCCCTTTTCCGGTGGATCTTATTCCTACTTCAAAGTAGGAATAAGATCCTCCGGAAAAGGGCGCTTTTTCCGGAGGATCGGGGCCAGTGTAGACGCTCTTTTCCGGCTTTTCTAAAAGCCGGAAAAAAGCGGCGGACATTTTTATTTAAATGCCGCGGGGGATATTTAAATCCCCCGCGCATTTCCCTATTGCGATTTCAAAAATTACCATGCCCCTTCCGGAAAAGGGGCCAATGTAGACGTAGCCTATGTGTTTAAACATGGTAGGCCAAGTCCTGCTCTATTACGTCAGTCACAATAGTTAAATTGATGTACATCTCCACTAACTGAAGAGCAATTTGTTTTGCTATGTAAAAATCAATTGTTTTGTTGTAGTAAATCTTAAAACCTTAAAATAAAATATGCATATTAATGAGTGTTTTTGACAACTGAAATGTTTTGTACTGTTAAGTTTTCAAAAATGCAAATAATTATACAGACTAAAGGATGATTTATTTTTTTTACTTTTGCATACTTTTTTAACTGTCTATCTTCAGAGGCAATCACAAGATGTATTTTTACTTATGTTTGATTTTTCAGGCTCAGGTTCATTAGAACACTATTCCTCTAAGCCTATCAAATAGTTCAACTCTTTTTGCTTCTCTCTGGTTATTTGAAATAACGTGCTTGTCTTTATTTCCTGCCCACCCCATTAAAACCCATAGTAGCAACACGAGTAGGTTCAATTATGGAATGCCAGTATCCCAAAATGCATTTCATTTGCAAACAAATTTGCTAATGTAAAGTGCAATTTAAGCATAAAATTCAGGTTAATGGCATCATAGTTTAATTATGTTAAAGAGACAGTGTCAACCTGAATATTTCAACTATCATTTTCTTTGAGTGCTCTGATGTCCTAATTTGTATAACTAGGGTCAAACTTAATGATTGAACAGGTTAAAAAGTGAATCTGTCTCTACTCAAAGCCTGTCAAATGTATAGTATAAACCAGATGGGAGAGAATTTTTTTTGTCAAAGATTCAGTTATATTCATATTCATTGCAATAGGCACCACGTTATAGAAATAAATGTAATTTCTTCCCCTCACGTTCATGGTATTCCTTTTATAAGGAATTTTTTGATAGGTACTGGCTCTGTGTTTATGGAGAGAGACCTCTGCTGCATGCAGTTTTGAAGGTATTAAATGTGTTGGAATCTGAGGGGAAAATAAATAGAAGAATTTTTCCTGGAACTCCTCAGAAAATATTTCTAATAGTTCTTTTTAATAAAGCCACTCTATTATATCACATATTGTACTGCATGTAAGAGGAGCCTCATATTCTGTCATCTTTATGTATTAGTTTGGGATAAAATTGTTATACCCATTTGAATTTCTTGGAATTGCAATACTGTGTTATGAGTTTAAAAATTCAAAAGCAAACTGAAACAAGAAAGAAACACTCTTTACTGATACTTAATTTTACTTTTCAGATGTGTGTGTTCTGAACCTCAGAACCCTAGCAATGAAACTTTACAGATGTGGCGGAAGACCAATACATCAGTGGATACTATAACATGGTCTAACCTCACAGTTTCTGTGAGTAACTCAAAAGATTAAAACACTGTCACTTATTTTTCATATGTTTCATCCTCAGTTGAACCTCTATCAAGCTTCTTTAGAATTCGGTATTTACAAAGCACTTTTAGAACACTATCGGACTATTGAAAAAAATGAAAGAAAACTTTCTCTCTGTTGAATTGGTGAATGCCTTTTTTAGTGTTCTGTTCCATGCCAATAATTCATAATTTCACAATAAGGGCTTGATCCAAATCTTAAATATTTATCCTTTTATATCTCTGTATTTGGCCGGCAGGGCCAAATTCTTTCAGAGGCTTGGTAATTGTTTTGGTATTAATTGGTAGGGTTTTTTTTTTTCTGTGTTACTATTCTATTAGAGAAACATTCATTTTTAGGAAGATAAGAGGCCTCAATTCAGCAAAAGATTTGTGTGTGTGTGTGTGTGTTTAAGACTTATAGACTTAGCTGCACTTAAATACATATGTAAAGTTAAGCAGGTATTTAAGTGCTTTGCTAAATTAGGGCCTGAAAATTGTATACAGTATATTTGAGTATCTTTTGGTTTGGAAGTGAGGAAGATCTAAAACTAAGTCGTCAATTTGCAATACTCTGTACTAGGACCAAAACTAAATACCTGTTTAAAAGGTGTAGTATTAGAAAGTTTGTCTTGGTTGCTAAATAATAACTCTGACATTTCTCTCTGATCCTCCCCAGACACCTTTAGTCTAGGTTAGAAACAAAATTAACAATTCAAGATTTGCTTCCCAACTTCTCCAACTTTAGGAACATATGTTGAGTGCATTTGGTGTGTGGTCTCTACCTCCCTCAAATGTTGGGATCATTAGTCTATGTAGAAAACTTCAGTATAGACTTTGCACTTAAAAAAACCCTTGAATTCATTACATTTGTAGGATTTTTTTGGACAATGCATATATTGAAGGAAGAGCAGTAAAATGAAAAGTTACAGTATCTAAGCATGACCTGAGTAAAGAAAGAAATGTGAGCTTAAATTCAGCAGAAGGGATAAGAAAATTAAGATACTTTTAATGCTAGACTGGGATAATACAAATATGTATTTTAAATTGCTAATTACAGTATGGAACTTGGGGAAACCTGCTACAAAGGGGAAAGGAAACATGAAGTAGCTGCATTAACCTGAGCGTTGGAGAAAGGAAGATTAGAAAGGGAAAAAGAATTGGAGTTGGAAGGAAGATGCGAAATGATTTAATTTCAGTACTGAAAATGTCTGGGTAGTTTTCAGTATTTCTGTGGCTGAGTAGAAAGATACCATAGTGCTACACTAATATTTCAAAATGAGACTAACCTCACAGAGGTTAGATGCAAGCTATTTAAGAAGAAAAATTGTTGTCAACTGTGCTAATTTCTCTAAAACAGGGGTGGTGAATCTTTTTTGAGGTCGGGGCCGCTGACTCAGAGAAAAATCATTCAGGAGCTGCACACAAGTGAGAAGCAAAGAAACCCCAACCAACCAAAAACCCTCCCAACCTTACTGGTGTGGAGCGACTGAGGAGAAAGACACTCCCCACACACACATTCTCCTTGCACACCAGAGTGTAGGGGAGCTCAGCTAGTAGATTTTGTGTGTTCCAGTCCCATGGCAAGGGGGAGGGGGAGGAACGGTGGAGAGGTTGGAGCACCTACCCCTGTTTTAAAGTCTGAGCAATTGTGGCACTGGTGGACAAAGGCTTGCATTGGGGATGAAGGTTGGGTGTATCTTGCACTGCATAAACCTAATGCTCCCTGAACCCTTCCCTTCCTGATAGTTTTCTTGTGTGCTATTATGCTTGCCTTATCTTTACAAATCTGTGATGAACCTTTTCAGGAGCACACTCTTCCAGACTTAAACTTCCTAGCCAGATGGCACATTTCTCTTTCCCAGATACTGGTAATCTTCCCAGATCCACAGAGAAGTCACAAAGTTTGACACTTTGCCAGTTTTAAGTTACACAATTTAAATTAGTTCATTATTTATTATTTGAATGGTTTGATAAATCCTATTAAAAGTCTTACATTATGGACATATTTCTGTCAACTGTGACATTGTGTTATTTCTCCCTTGTGTTCTTCTTGTCAGTATCCATTTGATTTCTTTTCTGTTACTTAAATTCTAAGCTCTGTGGAGCAGCTACTGCACTCATTTTGTTAGGTATTTTTGTACAGTACTTAGTACAATAGAACTCTGTTCCTTGACCCAGGCTACAGGACACACTACTGCAATATCCTTAGTGGATTGTAAAAAAAAATCAACTTTAAATTTTAACTGATATTATGTGTCTGTTCTGTACAGCTGGTTTCTGTTTTGCTTGCAGATTTATTTTTTCCTTTACACAACTTAGCTGAGGAAATAACCTCCTCTTAAGAACCAAACACATTTTCACAACAATTAGGCTAGTTGATGATGGATTTAATTTATTGAATTACATAGCAACATTCTTTCTTCTAATAAAATACATTTCAGCTTTAACATATGTCACATTACAGCTTTTTAGTTTTAAAAGTAGATCTCTTCTAAGTAGAAAAGCATTTACTAACAGGCCAAATGCAGGCCATGTAACAAAGATATGGGGAAAACTAAGGTGACATTAGTTTTGTGTGAATGAGACGATGGTGTAGGGAGGAGGGGTTTAGCTTTATAAGGAACTGGGGAAACTTTTGGGATAGTGGGAGCCAATACAGGAAGGATGGACTCCACCTAAAACCAAAGTGGATCCAGACTGCGGGCACTTAACATTAAAAGGTCGTAGAGCAGTTTTTAAACGAGATGGGGGAAAGCCGATTGGTGCAGAGGAGCACGTGGATCGGATAGAGACATCTCTTAGAGGAGAGTCTATAGATAGAGATTCTCTAGGTTTTAGTCAGGAAGAGAGGGTGGAAGAGGATAAAGTATGGGCCAAATCAGACGAAAACATTCACATAAAAAAGAATCTGACACGTCAGAAAAGGACAGACAAATAAACAGTGACAAGTTTTTAAAGTGCTTGTACACAAATGCTAGAAGTCTAAAAAATAAGATGGGTGAACTAGAGTGCCTCATGTTAAAGGAGGATACTGATATAATAGGCATCACAGAAACCTGGCGGATTGAGGACAATCAATGGGACACAATCATTCCGGGGTATAAAATATATCGGAAGGACAAAATATATTGCAGAAGGAATAACAGGTATTTCGAAATAGGGCTTTATTTTGAACGCGTGTTTCACTGCCGTGTGTAGACGCGGGCAGTTATTCCGGGCTTGTCAATTTAAAAAATGGCGCCCGGCTGGGAACATGCAAATCAAGCGCGGGATATTTAGATTCCAGGCTTGATTTGCAATTTCGAATGCCTACATTTGCAACCCTATTTCGAATTAGGCTGCAAGTATAGATATACCCTAAATGAATTCTTTGCTTCATTCTTCATGGCTGAGGATGTTAGGGAGATTCCCAAACCTGACCCGTCCTTTTTAGGTGACAAATCTGAGGGCTTGTCACAGATTGAAGTGTTATTAGAGGAGGTTTTGGAATTAATTGATAAACTGAAAAATAACAAGTCACCGGGACCAGATGGCATTCACCCAAGAGTTCTGAAAGAACTCAAATGTGAAATTGCAGAACTATTAACTATGGTTTGTAAGCTATCCTTTAAATCCACTTCTTTACCCAATGACTGGAAGATAGCTAATGTAACGCCAATATTTAAAAAGGGCAATTACTGGCAATTACTCTTAGTGGCAATTACAGACCGGTAAGTCGAACGTCCGTACTGCACAAATTAGTTGAAAACAATAGTAAAGAATAAAATTGTCAGGCACATAGAAGAACATAATTTGTTGGGCAAAAGTCAACATGGTTTCTGTAAAGGGAAATCATGTCTTACCAATCTATTAGGGTTCTTTGAAGGGGTCAACAAACACGTGGACAAGGGGGATCCAGTAGATGTAGTGTACTTAGATTTCCAGAAAGCCTTTGACAAGGTCCCTCACCAAAGGCTCTTACATAAGTTAAGTTGTCATGGGATAAGAGGGAAGATCCTTTCATGGACTGAGAACTGGTTAAAAGATAGGAAACAAAGGGTAGGAATAATGGTAAATTTTCAGAATGGAGAGGGGTAACTAGTGGTGTTCCCAAGGATCAATCCTCGGACAAATCCTATTCAACTTATTCATAAATGATCTGGAAAAGGGGGTAAACAGTGAGGTGGCAAAGTTTGCAGGCTCAGGGTAGTTAAGACCAAAGCAGACTGTGAAGAACTTCAAAAAGATCTCACCAAACTGAGTGACTGGGCAACAAAATGGCAAATGAAATTTAATGTGGATAAATGTAAAGTAATGCACATTGGAAAAAATAACCCCAACTATACTTATAATATGATGGGGGCTAATTTAGCTACAACTAATCAGGAAAGAGATCTTGGAGTCATCATGGATAGTTCTCTGAAGACGTCCACACAGTGTGCAGTGGTAGTCAAAAAAACAAACCGAGTGTTAGGAATAATTAAAAAAAAAAAGGGATAGAGAATAAGACGGCAAATATCTTATTGCCCTTATATAAATCCATGGTACGCCCACATCTTGAATACTGCATACGGATGTGGTCTCCTCATCTCAAAAAAGATATACTGGCATTAGAAAAGGTTCAGAGAAGGGCAACTAAAATGATTAGGGGTTTGTAATGGGTCTCATATGAGGAGAGATTAAGGAGACTGGGACTTTTCAGCTTGGATAAGAGGAGACTTAGGGGGGATATGATAGAGGACTATAAAATCATGAGTGGTGTGGAGAAAGTGAATAAGGAAAAGTTATTTACTTGTTCCCATAATATAAGAACTAGGAGCCACCAAATGAAACTAATGGGCAGCAGAAGGAAGTACTTCACACAGCGCATAGTCAATCTGTGGAACTCCTTGCCTGAGGAGATTGTAAAGGCTAGGACTATAACAGGGTTTAAAAGAGAACTAGATAAATTCATGGAGGTTAAGTCCATTAATGTGTCTGTCAAAGGGTGGAGATCGCTTGATCATTACCTGTTCGGTTCACTCCTTCTGGGACACCTGGCATTCGTCACTGTCGGCAGACAGGGTACTGGGCTGGATGGACCTTTGGTCTGACCCAGTATGGCCATTCTTATGTTATGTTCTTATTAAAGAGAAGGAGATCATTCTTATAATAACCAACTTGAAAGTCGACATTGTATAATGCTTTATTGATCTTGAGCACCAACCCTTCTCTTCCAGCAGTTGTCACCTTGATGGCTTATTTCTCTAAACACTAGAAATAAGGTGACTATGTACTGTGGAATATTTTGTTATAGAGTACTTTTCCTCCTCTTGTTCTGAAAAGGTTCTGGGAGTGTTGAAAGTTCAGGTTTAGTTCCTGACATTATTTTGGAACACGAACACACAGACACACACAAGTTATTTGAAACTTCAGCTTTTTAAGTGCAGTTTTTTTGGCTTGGTGAATTGAAGGGGATTGTCTGCAAATTAGTATGCTCCCTTGAATGACCTTTATTTTAAAAAGTGTGACTTGGCTTTTTGTTTTTTGTTTGCAGGACTGCAAAAAGTTTCATGGTGTATTTCTTGGATCAGCTTGTGGCCATCATGGGCCATATATTCCAGATGTTCTATTTTGGTCTGTGATACTATTCTTTACAACCTTTTTCCTGTCCTCTTTTCTCAAACAGTTTAAGACCAAACGTTATTTTCCTACTAAGGTAATTAGGGTTCACTGCCATTTTGCTTTGAATGATGTAATTCACAACAGCTTTGCCTTTACTTACTGTGTTTCCAAAGATTCAGAACATTGTATTGAGCATATTACTTTGTTGAGATCATTCTCCTGATGAGAACAGAAATAAATTATTGAAAATTAGCTGATAATACTGTAAATGTAGGCGTTAAAACTGAAATATAGTCACTGAGGCAGAGACTTCTGGAAGCGAGTAAAACTTCTCAAAATTAACTGAACTGGAATTTTTTTAAATTCTTGACTGTATTCACAACAATGAGTAACCTAAACGTTCACAGATATAAGCAGCACCCAGATCCCTATTAGAGTATAGTAATAACTTACAAAGTGATTAGACAGTCACATGCTTTGCCACAGCCTTTGGAATAGGGTGATGGGTTAGTACCTAACTTGTGGGGGGGAAATATATCCCCAAACACAGGAGTGTTCAGAGCAACATTCCTTCACTTGACCTGTATTAGGGAGCTGATATAATCCTTGCTGCTTAGAAGAAGTGCCAGAAGCTAATTCCATTTGGCAAAAAGAAAGTGGGGAGAATGCATGTGAAATTGAAATCTATACCCACATATTGTACACATTGGCTTTTACCACTTCATCTTTCACAGCTTGCAACTCCCCTTTTGTGTAACTGAAATTAGTTGAAGTATACACATTCAGATTTCAGAACTCAGTAAAGCTGTACATTCTGAAATGTTTTCTTGGAAATAAGAATGACAAGGTAGAAGCAAGATGTAAGAAAGGATGGGATGAGCAGCAAGCCAACTCCTGAATGAAAGGAGAGCTGTGAGATTAGCCAATAGCACTGTTGACTGGGTAGTGCCAAAGCTCTATTAAATGGGGAAACATATGGTGGGGCAGCGTCTATAACATGTGACAAGCTGAAAAAGTCATCACTATTTGTGCAGGCATTTTGTGGAAAAGCATCATGGGTATTGTTTCATAGTGAAATAGCATCTTATTACATAGACTGCAGCTGTACTAAGTATGTAGTGTTTAGGATGGGATTGAAAGTTAAGCATAGAAATCAAACTCTTGCCATGGAATGATCATTGTGTTTAATATTTTGAGTTGAAGGCACATGCATCTTGTTGGACTGAGAGACCCGTTTTGATATCTGGTCCGTCTTTTAAGGCTAATGAAACCCAAGAACTTACAAAGACCTTTAAAGAATTTTTTCCCTGCAATGGATCACTTCTTTGAGTCTAGGATTTTAGATAATGTTATATCCTCTATTAAGACTGTGGACAATAGGGTTATGGTCATAGATCACTTTAATTTACAGATAAGGTATGAGAGAAGCTAAGATGGAGTGCAGGAATGGGAATTTGGGGCTAAATCTGATGTGTTTGATTATTTTAAAATGAACTAATTTAAAGTTGAAAAAATTATCCATTTTCAAAATATTAAATATAGCAGTGAAAATAGATTGTGTGTGTTAAACTGCTTTTTTTTCTTTCTAGGTACGCTCTACAATCAGTGACTTTGCTGTATTTCTGACCATAGTGATCATGGTTCTGATTGATTGGCTTGTTGGAGTTCCTTCTCCTAAACTACATGTTCCTGAGAAGTTTGAAGTAAGAAATAAATTTTTGTCCATTTAAAAAGGTTTACATGATCTGCAATTTCATGAATAGTTGTATAGTGAAAAATGAAAAAAAATTGCTGTTAAATGTGGAAAAAAATAATATTTTGTGTTTGCAAAGAAATACTATAATATGCCTTTTTTTTCCCATGCTGATTTTTCTCTGGATTGATTATATTTTTAATTTCTGCATTTTCTGCTCTGGGTCCAGTTCTCATATGGTAAAGGAAGTTAATGGAGATCCTAGCTACTATGTGGTGTATCTCAGCTGTCAGCATGAACTCTTTTCAGTAGAAATGTTTAAAAGCCAAGGAAAATGGAAAGTGTTATTTTGTCATGCTACTTTTTTCCCACCTAAACCACAGTCTCATGCAGAACCGGTCTTAGGGCAGTAGTCTGGGGCTGCAATTTTCAAAGGCCGCCAACAGAGCCAGTTTTAAGGCTGAGCCATGACTGCAATTCAGTCTGACCTCCCGAATTACTCCCCGACGTTTGCTTGTTTGCTTGTTTTTGGCTCGACAGATTTTCTAAATAGCAGTGTGTGTGGCTTTTTTTCTCCACAACATTTTTTAAAGATCTCAATTTTCTTCCAACGTGAAATGAAAACAAAGAGCCACCAATTGGTTAGGACTGGCTCTGTTCTCATGTAACTTAATTATAGTAATACACATCTAGCAGTTTTTTGCGCCACTCCTTCTGTTCACTAAGTAAATGCATTTTAGGCTTAATTATTAGTAATATCCTTAAGTACCCCTTTTGCAGATGACTTAGAACTTACTAGTTATCAAATCAGTGGGTGAACTATATGTGGCATTTATGTTGGCCTGAAAATTAATTGGGGGTAATTACCAAACTTCTTAAAATTGGTAATTTTGATCATGCAGCAGGCTCTAACATCTTAAGTAAGCGATCACCCCAGTTGGGAGACTCATGATGGTTTTCACCTTCCTCTGCACTGTTGTTGATGTGGCATTGGAAAAAAAACAACTTGACACCCAAACTGCAAAAGCATAGTTGGTAAATGGCACCTCCTCAAGAATGTCTTTCATAAATTGAATATGCTAGTAAGAGAGACAAAGCTGAGGATTTATAATACTTTGATGGCCAAGATTTTGTCTTGTGGAACCAAAACATGGCTTCTCAATGTCAAAATTAGAAAAAAGTTGATGTCATTTGGATGAAGCTTTTCCAAAAGATTTGAAACTACCAAATGGACAAATTCAGGTCAAATGAAGAGATCCATTTTTCTAACTAAATGTGTCCCACTACCTCAGACTGTCGCCCAACATTCAAATGGTATAGTCATCTGCTCCAAGCATACCAACTTCCCTATGAGAAACATCTTAGGCTTTCCATCAATAAAGCAAGATCAAAAAGGCCACCAGAAGACTTAAAATCTGGTTGGTTGGCATCAACAGATAACTGTCCTTCATGTGCCTTTCTACCATGTAGCCCTTGGAATTGGCACAGGACAGAGAATGCTGGAGGCATATAATGCATTTGGTGGCCTCCATGTTGTTCAAGTGGCAGCATGAGAATTAACATAATGTAACCTAACCGCATTCAAGCCATTTTCATTAATTGTAGTACTTGAATCCTTTTTTAATACCTTTTAAAAGTCTTATAATGAGTTCACCTGTTTCTTATAGCTAGCCTTACAGTTATTGACTTTCATTCCTATTACTCAAATTTGTTTTCTAGCCCACTCGAAAAGACAGGGGATGGCTCATAGATCCTCTTGGAGGTAATCCTTGGTGGACACTACTAGTAGCTGCTATTCCTGCATTACTTTGTACAATTCTCATTTTCATGGACCAGCAAATCACAGCCGTAATCATAAACAGAAAGGAGCATAAGTTGAAGGTAATAGTTAGCTTTTCTCCATTTTCTGATATATTCTGAACTCATTTGTAAGCATGTAAGTTAACTTATTGCAAAGAAAACTTGTTCAATGTTCAAGCTACATAAAAGTAAATAGTGTAGGTCTTTGAAATTTAAAACTAGTTGTTGCAGCTACTGAATGACTTGTTCATATTGAGTAACATATAACACATGGCTACTAAAGTGGTGGGCATGCTAGAAAACTATCCAAGGTTTTTTTTTTTTTTTTTTTTTTTAAGTAATTTAGTACAGAACTGTAAGTGTATAATAACTCTTTTATGTGCTACAAGTCTTTGCAGGGAACTCATTTCTTTATTTGACTTTGCAGAAAGGCTGTGGCTATCATCTTGATCTGCTCATGGTTGGTGTTATGCTGGGGATATGTTCCATAATGGGCTTACCTTGGTTTGTGGCTGCAACTGTACTGTCTATAAGTCACGTCAATAGCCTAAAAGTAGAATCTGAATGCTCTGCCCCAGGAGAGCAACCTAAGTTCTTGGGAATCCGGGAGCAGCGAGTGACGGGGTTAATGATATTTGTTCTGATGGGCATGTCTGTGTTCATGACCTCTGTTTTAAAGGTAAGAGGAGATGCTTGCTCCAAAACACACCATGCTTATATTTTAATATCATTATTTACTATTTGATAATATAAGCAAATTTAACATACTAATTAAAATAAATCTACTTTAATTATAGAGTCATCTTTATGTAAATTGATGTTTAAAATTGTTTAATAGAAATAATACAGGAGGAGAGAGTAAAAAGGACATCTGAGAAGATAAGCAATGAGTGTTCATTGCTTATAACCCCTATCTCAAATCTTTGATCACTTAAGTTTCTCTTTTCTGATTAGTTATTTTTCAGCTTTCCAGGCTGAGGTTAACTTGTGACAGGTCTGTGCCCCATACCCAGCGAAGGTAGTGAAGGAAGAGAGAATATACGATAGCTCTATACACCTGCGGGGTTTCATGTTTCTCAGTTATTTACATATATTTTGTTCTCACTATACACAGAATATTGAGTTGTACATCTACCAGTCTTGCAAACTCACTTTGGCATTAGAGCATCAACCTCAATCTTTTCTCTACAATGCATCATCATTCGTAATAAAAAATGTACAGGTCAAATTCAGTTCTCAATCTTCATATGCATTGTCTCTAAATTTTCTCTCACTGATTACTATGATAGAGATGGCCATGAATTTTTCAATGAAACCAAAACATTTCACTGAAGTCTATCAGTTTTGATGAAAATGAGAGCGAGAAAAAGACTGCTACCCAGAATTATTGATAGCCTGATTGATAGGAAACTTGCCTGGTATATGGGAGAACCTGACTCAGGCAGAGAAGTGACTTTCACTTGTGTCTCCCACATCCCAGGTGAGTTTTCTAGTAGCAATGTCTGTGACTTTTTTTCTCCGCAACATTTTTGAAAGGTCTCAGTTTTATTCCAATGCAAAATGAAAACAAATATCAAAACCTCAGTATTTTTCACAAAACAGAATTCTTGTTTTCTGATCAGCCTATTCATATGGTTGTGTGATTGTAACTGGTTGGAATTTAATAAATAAATGAATTCAATTGATGCACAATTTGAGCAGAATCAAGCTTCTCTTAGCTGTGTTGATTCTGTAGGATTAAAAGAATGGAGAAGTAAAAGTTTTCATCACTGAAATAATCAATATACATCAGTAGTGAAAATAGTGTAAAACTTCTTACAGGTATTGTCCTGTTGCAATCCCGGTCGCTGCTAGCTCTCTAAATAGCTCCCTGCTAGCATTTGCTGCAGCTTAGCCACCTCTTGCCAGAGCTACACACACCTCTGCTGTACACTCTGCATACGTGAAAATAACAGATAAGTTAAGATGCCATTTTTATGTACAGGCAGTCCCCGAGTTACGTACAAGATAGGGAATATAGGTTTGTTCTTAAGTTGAATTTGTACATAACTCGGAACTGGCTCCAGATTCAGCCGCTGCTTCTGAAACTGACCAGGGGCTGACTACAGGAAGCCCGAGGCAGAGTCGCTCTGCCCCCAGCTTCCTGGAATCAGCCACTGATCAGTTTCAACAGCGGCTGAATCTGGAGCCTGGGACAGAACAGCTGGGGTGTTGCCGGGTAGGTGTCCCCCCCCAGGACCAACCCGGCAGCACCCCAACTGCTCTACCCCAGGCGTCCACAACAAAAGCCTGGTCTGCGGGGGGTGGGGGGGCGCACTAGCTGCGCCCTCCCTCCCCAACAGACCAGGGACACGGGGAGCAAAGCCGCAGCGGCGGCGGGGTGCCGCGCCTCTGAGGCTTTGCTCTGGCAAAGCCTCAGAGGT